TGTTTCAAGAGGGAATATTTTGATACCTACCACGGTTATTCTAAGCCTGTTTCAGTTACAGTAGCTAATGGAGAAGCTATCTATGCTGAAGGAGAAGGTGGCATTCGATTTCTTGTAAATATTGGTAAGAGTAAAATTGTCCGGATATTGCAAGGAGTATGGTATATTCCAAAACTAGGCAGAAATCTTCTTTCGGTCTCCAGGTTAGTTGAAAAGGACTATACGTTCAAAGCTAATAAAAACAAGTGTGTTTTTATAAAGGACAATAAACCACATTTATTTGGACACAATGCCAATGGCTTATTTGAACTTGAAATGTCAGTTCTACAGAGTAAGTCTTCTGTACAGTTTGTGAGTAGTAAAAATAAAACTCTACAAGAATGGCATGAGTGTTTTGCTCATCAAAACAAGGCTCATGTGTATAAGTTCCTTGGTGATCGGGGCATATCTGTGAAAAAGGATGACTTTTTCTGTGAGGGATGTCTACAAGGGAAAGATCAAAGAGAAACTTATCACACAAGAACAGTGAAACCTGAAAGTCCAGGTGAGATTATAAGTGGTGACTTATGTGGACCAATGGAAAATATTTCTTCATGACTTCAAGACTATGTTTTACTTGCTGAAGCAGGTCCCTCCTACGACGAAGCAGTTAACAGTCCTGATTGGTGGCACTGGCAAGCTGCAATGAATGATGAAATGGCATCAATAAATGAAAATGAAGTGTTTGAGTTAGTTCCACGTCCAAGTAATAAGAGAATTATAGGTCTAAAGTGGGTTCTAACACGAAAACAAAATCCAGAACGCTTCAAGGCAAGGTTGGTAGCAAAAGGATATGCTCAAAAGTATGGAGAGGATTATAATGAGACATTCAGTCCTGTAGCCCGAAGCGATACCATTCGATGTCTTTTGAATGTATAGCTGTTCAAGAAGATCTTTACTTAAAACAGTTTGATGTAAAAACTGCATTTTTGTATTCTAAGTTAGATGAGGATATCTATACTAAAAGAATAGATATTCTTTACAAACTAATGTTCTAACATAACAATGGAAATTGGTCAAACGTCAAAGGTAAACGTCGTTTACCTGAAGGTTATGATGACAAAAGTGGAAGAGTTTGGAAACTGAAACGCAGTTTGTATGGTCTGAAACAAAGTCCAAGGTGTTGGAGTAAGTGTCTAATGCAAAGTATGCTTAAGAAGGGTTTTAGCCAAAGTACTGCAGATCCATGTTTGTTTTTTCGTAACAAGAACGGTTCAAAATTGTATGTAGTAATATTTGTGGATGATGGTCTGATTGCTGGTTCAAATCAACAAGAGATGTCTGATTTTATTGCACAATTGGAACAAGACGTCAAGTTGAAAGTTACCGATCCTGAAACCTACCTTGGAATGGAGATTCATAGAGCAGAGGGCAGGATTTCTTTGAATCAGAAGTCTTACATCAAGAGTGTACTTGAAAGGTACAGGATGTCAGAATGCAATCCAGTTGGTACGCCTTTATGCACGAAGCATGAAGATACAGTAGAGGAAAACAAGCCTTTGAGTAAAGGAGTTCCCTTCCGAGAAGCTGTGGGCAGTCTGATGTACATAACAAATATGAGGCCAGACATAAGTTGTGCAGTGAATATGGTAGCACAAAAGCTGAACAATCCTACTATGCAAGCATGGAGTGATGTCAAGAGAATATTCCGGTATTTGAAGGGGACATTGGATTATTCACTGACTTATTCCAAAAGTGAACCAATTCTCCGTTGCTACAGTGATGCTGACTTTGCAAATGACAAGTCAAGAAATTCACGCACAGGATGTTTGTGTATGTTTGCTAATGGCATTGTAAGTTGGTCTTCAGTGAAGCAACATTGCGTTACATTGTCAACCACAGAAGCAGAGTTCGTTGCTGCGAGTGAGGCTTCTAAGCAAAATAGTATGGTTGAAAACTATGTTGGGCAAGATATATGGTCAAGAAATCAAGGCTCTTCTTTTTGTAGACAACGCTGGAGCTGTTCGACTAGCTAGGAATGCTGGAGAGTTTCATAAGCGGTCAAAACACATTCATGTGAGATACCAGTACGTACGTGAGCAATTTCTTGCAGGTACATTTGATGTACGTCACGTGTCTGGGAATGACCAACTAGCTGATTTCCTGACGAAAGGCCTACCAGTGTCCAGATTGAAAACCCTGTTGGAGCGTGTGAGTTTGAGGGCATATTGAAAGAAACTAACTTGCTCAATGTCTATTTCCAATCACATGGTTTATAATTAATTAAATCATGTGTATGATTGTTTTATCTTAAAAAAAAAAGTTAATAATACAGTTTAACAACTATTAATCAATAATATTTTCTTTCTTTATTTAAAATCGTCAATATCTATATTCAATGGGATTGAAGGCACCCCAGTAGCACTACATTGCTGTTCTGGCACAATATTTTCTTGACTTGATCTAAAAATAAAACTATATTTAAGTTTTAACAGATTTAAAATTACTAGGCATATACATACTTACACGTTTTATAATAGGCTTAGGCTACCGCTTAATATTATACTTTATTTAAAAAGATAAATAGTTTTACATACAAGAAACTTTTCATTCTCTAAAAATCCATGTTCAATATTTCCACTTATTTGTAGGTACGTCTAGTAAACAAAATGTAAAATAAACGGCATAAGTTATCTGACAGGGTGTCCACCAGGCCAACCAGAAAAAATTCATGAGTAATACATGAGTAAAAAAATTCCAGGCCGTACTTTTCATAATAAAATTTCCAACGTGTTTTGTGCCAACTCCCGCAATGCTGTTTAAGCACCATCACAGTTTGCTATTTTAGTTATTGGAAAGGGCATTCTCAGATAATGAAAATTATATTACTGATTAAATAATTGGAAAATTTAAAAACTAATCCTTAAACCTGCAATTTATTATAAATAACTTCTTAAAATTAGTGATATGTCGATACCAAAATTTATCGAATCTCCAAACAGACACCTGAAAAATGGATTCTTAATACTGATAATTTTAAGTTTACCAAATTTTCTGTAAGGATTACTGCACCGACCCCTGTCTTTATGTAGTTTCATATAGTAGCCTATGTAATTTTGGAGTTATGGGTTGTTTTTCAAGTGGCCTACAGAAATAATTACCTAATGCAGAAATCACAAATATTTCACTAGTTTTAGTTTTAAACCCTTCTAAACACATTAAATCAATACCACAATACCAAAGGTAAATGAAGATATTACAAAAAATATAAAAATAAAACTTTCTAGAAGTGTGCCATTTTGAAATTTTTCAAAGCCAAACTCGTGGTTATATCGTGATCATCTAACAAGGAAACGTCATTGTCGTCTCCCCGGACACAGAATCGTCATCTCCTGCGGTCACGATCGCGGCAAAGTCATTAACATATCCCGCGGCCGTTTGAACATCATCATCGTCTCACGCGGTCACGAAAACGTCATCATCGTCTCCCGCGATCGCGGAAACAACATAGTCGTCTCCCGCGGTCACGGAAACGTCATCAACGTCTCCCGCGGTCACGGAAACGTTATCGTCGTCTCCCGCGGTCACGGAAACGTCATCGTTTGCATGCGCGATCGCGGCAAAGTGACTAACATATCCCGCAGCCGTTTGGACATCATCATGGTCTCACGCGGTCACGAAAACGTCATCATCGTCTCCCGCGGTCACGAAAACGTCGTCGTCGTCTCCCGCAGTCACGAAAACGTCATCGTCGTCTCCCGCGGTCACGGAAACATCATCAACGTCTCCCGCGGTCACGGAAACGTCATCGTCTTCTCCCGCGGTCACGGAAACGTCATCGTCGTCTCCCGCGGTCACGGAAACGTCATCGTTCGCATGCGCGATCGCGGCAAAGTCACTAACATATCCCGCGGCCGTTTGGACATCCTCATCGTCTCAGGCGGTCACGAAAACGTCGTCGTCGTCTCCCGCGGTCACGGAAACGTCATCGTCGTCTCCCGCGGTCACAGAAACGTCATCGTTCGCATGCGCGATCGCGGCAAAGTCACTAACATATCCCGCGGCCGTTTGGACATCCTCATCGTCTCAGGCGGTCACGAAAACGTCATCGTCGTCTCCCGCGAACACGGAAACGTCATCGTCGTCTCCCGCGGTCACAGAAACTACATCGTCATTTCCCGCAGTCACGGAAACGTCATCTTTATCCGCGATCGCGGCAAATTGAAAATTCCCTGTAAAATACAAAATTCACGCATAATTCCCGGTCGGTGGTTATAGTCTGACACCTACAATTTCTCCTGCCTTGTCTTCTGCTGCTCGTGATTCTTCCCATTTTATCTTAGCTATCTTTAATATATCTATTAGCCGTATAGACTACGTGCAAGTGCGGTTGCCCGTGATTTTTTTAAATGTATTTATTATTTTCTAGAGTGACATATCAACATTTATACACTGTAAATAAGAAATACGGGCGATGAAAGTTCTGCGTGGTAATATTTATTTACTTAGAAAACGAAAACATTGCGCAGTGTAACACTGGTAAGGCCAGTTTAAAACATTTAAGTACTCAACAAGGGGACTTCTCGCTCATTTCAAATGGCTAAAAAGTTAAAAAATCATAATACTATAAAATCCCGGGATTGATTGAAGGCCGGGATTGAGACCCCTATGCGGAACAAAACTCTGCACGCGCCCTCTCCCGTAACACCCACAGTGATTCCTTTATACTAGAAAATTTCACAATATGTTTATTTGCATATTACTAATATTAAGTTAAAAGAATAATGTTATTAACAAAGAAATTAGGTTTCTCATTAGGTTATTCAACATTTACATACAATATTTTGTTATGAATAGTAAAATGGGTAAAATTTATGCTATTTAGTGTTGCGGAATAAAACTCCCCATGCGCCCGGTCCTGTTTTACTGGTGCGCCTCTTCGAGGGTTAAAACAACTTCAACAATAAGAGTAACATTTTTTACTAAAAATTAAAAAAACATCAGAGGTAAAACATACTTACTGGTTTGTCGGGCTGGGGTAAAGGAGAGGAGAGGTCTGAAGCCCAGGCGTTTGTTTTATCAGATAAAACAGTTCGATGGCTGTAAGATCCTCGGAAATTTGGATTAATATGCCATTTTGACCTGAAAATAAAACATCTTTATTTCATTTTAGAAGCTAGCCTCCGGATTACGTTGAATATATTAAATTGGTGTAAATACCTGCTTCGTAGTAATCCTATTGTTGCTAGTGTCGCAACTAGTTTCGACTTTCTACAAAGTAATCTCATCACTTCAAGAGGAGGATAACAACAGTTTGAATTTTTTAGATCTAACCATAACAAAACAGAACGCAGCATTCACCTTCAAAATTTACCGTAAACCAACTATTACAGACCAAACCATCCACGCAGACTCTCATCATCCCCATTCACAAAAAATTGCTGCCTACAATAGCTTTGTACATAGATTGCTATCAGTGCCAATGAGTCCATCTGACTACACCGATGAAATAAACATTCTTAAACACATTGTAAGGGTTATTTTTCCCTTACAGTTTATTTTGTTTATTAGAAGAGATATTTATTATTTTGTAAAGAAGTATTATTATTTTGTGAAAGAATACACGTTTTATATTGTTTCTTGTATTTAAATTATTCCTACAGCCATAAACCCAATTGTTTAGTTAGAAATATGATTATTAAAATTATTCTGGTACATAACTATAAACAATGGAAGTGTAGTTGAATAGTCTGAATGAAAATAGTGTCAGGATTAGAGAGAGATAGATATATATAGTTAGAAGTAAACATTGAGGTAGCGGCCGAGCTTATCAGCTGTTAGGGCAAAGGTCAAGCGGCAACACAACTGGACTGCCGAGCTTACCTCCTCTACCTTACCCCTACACCCCCTGCCACTGGAAGGTCCTATATAAGCAGGTGCATTTGGGGCACTAGTCAGTTGGAGTTGATGTTGGACGTCGGACAGCTCACAAGGTAAGTACCGTCGTGGTAGAATATACCTCAGCTATAGCCATAAGCGTGACTTAATAGGTCGTGCTTATAGTAAGTCAGTCTTAGGCCCGAGGTGGATAGTGTCGGTAAGTATAAGCTCGGGATTGTTAGGCATACTACGCAACCCCATATTAGTATAGTTCTACCCAAGCGTTATAACTTGGGCAGAACACTCGACGGGTCGGCTTAGAAGGTAGGTATTGTACCGTGAGGGAATACCTCGCGGCGAAGCTCGGCTGCTTGGAGGGGACTTACCCTCCCCAGCAACGAGCAGGTAGGTATTGTACCGTGAGGGAATACCTCGTGGCGAAGTTAGCTGATTGGAGGGGTTATACCCTGCCACAGTGAAGTGTGTTCGAGCGGATTTGGACTACGGGACGAGGTAAGTGCCAGCTCGTGACCGAATAAGTCGCGACACACAAGGTAGGGTAACGGATAGTTACCTTAACCTACAAATAGGTCGGTAGGGTGACGGTTGACATTAGTTACCGCGAAAATTCGATAGTAAAGACCATTTGGTCAAAGTCCAAATTCGATATCTCGAGGTGGGCGATGATGAGTCCATTGTAGGCGTACTTGGTTGCCGCGGACTGAGTTTAAACCTCGAGATATATAGGGAAATTCGAGATTTAGGCTAACTTTAGACCCCTGGATAGTTAGACACCCATACCCTGAACTATCTGTGGAATTTGTCGAAATCAAAATTTATCGTTAAGGGTAAAAATCCCTCACAACATTGCTGTCGCTAACGGTTATCAGAGCAATATTATTGATAAATTGATTCTCAAACACCAAAGAAAAACATCAAAAACAAAAGATAAAAAAACTTATGTTTCAACGGAATACGGCTCATCTCTAAGTACAAAATTCAATAATATCATGGCCAAAAACAACGTCACTGTGTCGTTTAAAACAGTAAACAAACTTGGGTATTTATTGAAAGAACGGCCTCAAACGACAACTCCAATTTTCGATAAGACTGGTGTTTACAAGATAAATTGTGACGATTGCTCTAAATACTATATTGGCCAGACAGCTCGTTCCTTCAAAAAAAGATTCAGAGAACATTTACCAAGAAAAACAACAGCCGCCCAAACCTCAACTTTTGCCGAACACTTAGTCTCAGATAACCATAATTATACAAATATCGACAACAACATGACAGTACTACATCTATCTAACAACCATTTTAATAGAAACACACTAGAAGAATTTGAAATATACCGAGCAGTAAAATTTGACAGACAAAATATCTTAAACGACAAGCTTTCCTTTCAATCGAATTATATTTATGATACGGCTATCAAAGTACTAGAGAAAGAGTCAGGAATAAATGAGACCTACACCAGCTGACTGATAACAAGACAAAAGGAGTGACGTCATCGCACCGACCGACCACGTTGACCGGTAGTATAGACCTTGCATCCATCCTGGTTGTGTCACATCATTCCTTAACAGTTACCGTTGTTTCTTTAATCGTATTAAATGTGCCGTTTTTACGTGTTAATGTCCGTGTTCGAGTTTTTATGTACTTTATGTGTAATGACGACCTTCATATGAAGTGACCACCCTTTGACATCCTTGACGCCTTCGCCTGAAGATGACCTTGTAGAAAGTCAAAACTAGTTGCGACACTAGCAACAATAGGATTACCACGAAGCAGGTATTTACACCAATTTAAAACATCTTTATTCATTAAGAAACGAAACATCCAACAATAAAATTGATACTCCTATAAAAAAAATTTCAAAATAGGCCTAGCCCTGCCGCAGCAAAACTGCAGACTAAGCGAATTTCCATTTACCTGGTTGGATTTTGGTGATGCGGAATACTATCCCCCGGAAAACCAACCCCCTGGGTGAAACGTGACGTCACAAAATCTGCCAACTAACCAATATGGAAGCCGTGTCCGCGACTGTAATACTACCCCCCTAGACAAATCATGCTATGTAAATTGTAATCTAATTTGAGTAATTCCGTTGGATAATAGAAAAGGCATGTGGGGAATATAAAACAGATGAACTTCAAAACGTTACAGCAAGTTTGGTTGGTTAGGTTAGGATAGTTTAGAATTGTTTGACAACTAAACTTGAGTGTCTGTGACTGGAAAACTTGTAACCCGCTTCCGGGTGTGTTTCGTTAATTTATCGGGTCGGGGCGTTACGCGTCCCTGATAGCCTAGCCGAGCTGGGTTATTCCGGGGGTCAATTTTGGTCGGGTTTCCCGCTTTTGTATCCTAAAGTCGTTTTCCTGGCTCAGGCGGGAATATTTTGCCTCTTGGCTTTATTCGTGCCTCATCATTGCCAGGAAACGAGTGAATAAAAGAGGGAGGGCGAGATTTTGTTTCGAAGTTATAGCTTCGTGCGCGACTCTGTTCACAACCTCCTCGGTGGAGTGTTAATTATTTATTTAATTTAATACCCTACGTCCATGCGCCACGGACCGAGCAGAATTAGTTTAGATGCGTCTTTATTATTTAAAATAATACAATGCGTTTCGGGCGAGTGGACTAGTTCGAAGCCCCGTGAGAGAGTAGGAATGGAAAGGTGCAAACGAACATACAGAGTAGGGCGGAGAAGGGTCGTTATAGAAAGAGTAACATACGAGACACACACACACACACACACAGACAGGTTGAGCACACAAAGACTTATTTCAAATAGATTAAGCCTAACTAAAAACTAACTTATTCCCAGATTTTCCGGGATAGCTTAGGTCTAACTTATAAATAACTTATTTCCGGTGTGCCCGAAGTAATTAAAGCTAACTTATAAATACCTTATTTCCGGGTTTTCCGGAATAGGTTAAATCTAGCTAATAACTAACTTATTTCCGGGTTTTCCGGAATAGGTTAAAGCTAGCTAATAACTAACTTATTTCCGGGTTTTCCGGAATAGGTTAAAGCTAACTTAGAACTAACTTATTTCCGGTGTGCCCGAAGTAATAGAGAAAGAAGGAAGAAAAGTTTGTGGCAAGCAACAAACATTCATAGTCATAAAGTGACAGAGTAGGAGACTTATAGCTAAGAGCTTAAGTGCTAATTAAATCTAACTTATTTCCGGTGTGCCCGAAGTAATAGAGAAAGAAGAAAAGCTACTTAGCAAACTACAGCTAACCAAAGCAGTTAGCTGCACACACACAACACATACGATACACAGATCACTCAATTAGCAACAGTCCAGGAATCAAGGAAATGGTAAAGAATGGAAAGAGAAGTTGGGGCTTAACTGTCTAACGTCACGGCGAATTAAAATTCCCAAAGCCAATACGAATCCCCAAAGCCTTAGTTAAGCATTGATAGTCAAAGGTTAAGCAAGGTTAAGCGTTATGCTAAGATTTGAAGCAATTTCTAAGGTTAGTGTGTTAGTAGCGGAGTCGTATCATGAGTTAGAATATTTAAATGCATATTGTTCAACACATCAATAATTAGTGGAAGGCTAAATGAATAATTAATAATGAAGTGGCAAATATAGTAAAGCAACTACATAGAACATTAACACTTAATAGCGGCTAAGCAACGACATAGAACATAACTACTGTGCACTGGTTCTAGTATAAAAGATAATGAATAGCTACAATGGTTAGTATAGTTCTGAAATATGTACAAGCAAATTAAAGCGTGTTAGTTAGTAAAGAAGCCAACAAAGTATTAAAATCACTCTAATAAATCCACTATTAATTAACTCTTATTCCCATAGATAAAATACCTCACAGCTGAAGTGCTGCTACAGTAATTACGAACAACATTGACTACAAACTAAACACCACACATTATATTTAGGTACCGGTAACACCGTGTTCTCACGGACCTACGCGATAAACAAAGCAAACAAAAAAAACACACGAATATGAAAAGCCACCTTGCGTGACCGAAACCGATCGAACTTGAATAGATTTAAACAATACAAATAAAACAACACAATTAAAACAGAAAGGAATTATAACCGGGCGGATCTCGTTCTGACCGTTACTTCTTTGAACTCACGGTCTATAAATTATGTATTGAACGAAATTAAGATATTCCAAAAATCAAAGCTGATCGTTATATATTTACAGAGTTATTTTAACAAAACAGATAACACTCTATGTTATAGTAAAACGATAAAGATATTCACCGGTTTAAATAAATCG